CTTAGCTACTGATCCTACTCGACCGTACTGGACCTGAGTGCGAGAGTTGTCTGAAGGGTTAGCAACGTCGAGAGATGGGGTGCATCGGAGGGAGTAGAGTGATGCTGACGGAGAGTAGGAGAAGAGATGAGGAGTGATTCATTGGCCTGGTTAGCTTATGTTCTCTCACGAGCGTCCGAATCGTATAGTGTAAGGAAGCTTGTGGGACCCAGAGAGACGGCGGCTGGATACGACATACCACTTCCTGTGGCGTTAGAAGAGGCAGGGCGTGTACCGATACGATACTTGGGAACGTGGCTCGCAGAGGGGCTCTTCCTTTGGACAGTGATACTACGAGACGAACGACCTGAGAGGACTCATGATCTAGAAGGGGTCAGACATCTGATTGCGGATAGAGCACACGATTTAGAGATAGGACTGACGCTCGCAGGGGCGAGCAGGAGTTGGTGGAGAAGCGAGTCGTTGGCCAGAGTGATCGTTAATCAGCAACTGGCGAGAGTCTCTGGAGGGAGGACGAGTTGGAGCTGCTTGAAATACGGTCCACCACATCCGACCCTCTACCCGAGAGAGGATTGGCGATTCGGACTTCCTACCTTCGTGATAGGGCAGACCTATGGGAGCGTGGATCGTTTGAGTAGAGCGGTGGACCACACACTTTACGCGCTCTGGGAGGGCTTAACGCCCCGCTTCAAGGAAGTATACTACGCCATTTGTGTGAGGTGGGGGCCGCCCAGTAGAGAGACGCTTGACGACATCATAGACGTTACTAGCTGGGTGGACTGTCTGAGGCCAATCGATCTGATTAGGTACTGCAGGAGACGGGCAGAGATCGATTACGTGGGGCTAGAGGATGTGAGATTTCTCTTCGAGGCCGCAGCTTAGGGAATGCCGGGAAGGACGACCACGATGATGCGTGTAGGAGAGCAACTGGTAAGCGCTGGATACACTGTGACAGTACTTCTCCGAGCGTACGTAGACGAGGACTTGATAGCGAGGGAGTGCAGACAACGAGCCAGGGATTTGATCCACGAGGGTAGAGCTGATGTACTGGCGCGAGTGACCTTCCAGACCTCGATTTCCTATGATGTGATGATATGGTTTCATGGTTATATGCGCGCGGAGCACTACCACGATGAGACGGTAGCGGAGGCTGGAGCGAGGGTGAGAGGATGGGCTGGAAAAAAATGTGGACTGAGTATGGAAGAGGAGAGTGAGGCAGTCGGAAGAGTGAGAAAGCGCGTTAAAGAACCACTTTTGAGCTATGTAAAGAAGTTGGGGAACAAGTTAAGGGAGATCTGGTCGTGTCAGGACGAGGGCAAGTTGCGTAGGGCTGAACTCGTCACGAGTGAGTTGGAGAATTTGTTTAGGGAGGAAAGAGAGATTATCCAGGCGTGGAGATCAGACTT